GGTGATGCCACACGCAGAAACCAAGGGAGGATCATAGCCTCCTCGCAAATCTGAGAAGCAAGTCTTACCAAGCTCGTGACACCAGGTGCACTGGAATATCCCTTTATCAATCCAAATCTTGAAACATCATTGTCCAGGCAGAAAACAAGGTGCTGCGAAAAAATGACTGACGACCAGATTCGCATCGCCATGACAACTGCGAGCGTTTCCAACTCAGCAATGGCATTTTCTTGATCCTTAGTCATAAAGGGTTCGATGTGTTCTGGTTTCAGCTGCATTTGGAACCATTGCTCGACTTTGCCGTCGGGACTGCAGAGCACACCCCCTATACCGCCATTCAAGGTTGGTTCAAAACTGGCGTCAGTCAAAATGAACCTAGTATGTCTGGTCGCCATGTTGATCATCCTGGGAAGGCTGGCAACCAACCTGTCTCGAAAAAATTGTAAAGCATTGGTCAATTCATCACTGATTTTCGCTCTAAAAGGCTTGGCATATATATGATCATATACAGACTGTAAAACGTATTTCGCTGATAGCCCAAAAAATTTGCCCATGCGCGAAAGCAAGCTTGCCATTCAAAATTTGACCATCTTTGTATTGCAAAACACCATCCTTCAGTACGGTGGAAATAATGTCCATCAAATCTTTCTTGCGTTTTTCAGTGTTCATGACTTCGACCTGTCCAGAAACAGATTTGGATAGGTCAATGACAACTCCCAGTGAGGAAACAAGCTCTGAAAATGTGTCCGCCTTGGGCCCCTCCTTGTCGTAGGCCCATCCGAGAAGTTCAAACAACAAGCACATTGATGATTCACTGCTCTGCTGCAACTGCGAAGGTGAAGCAACCACAAAATCGTCATAATAACATGTAGTTGGCAAGTAAAGACATTTGCAAGCAAGCCACTGTATACACCTTGAGCAGCGAATGAAAGCGTTCACTGCCGCTTTGGAGCCAAAAGGCAGACACACTTGAGCAAAGACTTCGTTGGTCTTTTTGTGTGGGTTGTAAACACATATGTATGAGAAAGGTTTGGATGTCGGTGCGACACAAAGCTGACGGTAGGCTGCTGCTAGATCAAAGGATCTTGCCCGCAACACAGTGCTCTTGCCACGCTCTCTCAAGCCTGCCATCAACTGCAGTAACATTGCACAAATCACATCCACATTGTCAGCTGTAGCCTGATCCTTTGCAGTGACTGTTGCATTCACTGAGCTCATACTGTAGTCATCTATAGGCCGCAACTTCTCGCCTTGCTGCAAGCCAAATCTCTTTGAGACAACTGCATTGCTTTCCAAGTCAGACCATTCCAAAGGTCCACGTAACCAGCCCTTGTCCACCTCATCCAGTGTCTTCTGATAAAGTTTTGTGTCAAGGTCAGGATCTCCGCTGGAAGCATTGGACCCCTTCAAAGCAAAACGAGCTCTGGCCGCGTTCGAACTCAACTCAGCTACTGCCATGGTAGCTGGTACAAACTTCTGAGGCAGGACTCCACCTGACTCAGGCAACTCGCCAACAAGGTCAAAGCCTCTCTTGAGGTCATCCACAAGGCCCATATCCGGGTAGGATTCATCCCGCAAGATCTTATCCAGTAGCGCGATGCGTTTTGTAGACATAATAGCCCGCATTGGCGTAGGCATCGCTGATAATACTTCGTTTTCTTCGTCTCTCAAGGATTTTGCAAGCGGCAAATATTTACCAAACCATCTGCACCTGTGGATGACGATGTCATGGTATGACAATTGAACATTGGCATCAACTGCAGTCTGCACGGCCTCAGACATACCCAAAACCAGATGTTGTGGATGCCCAGCCATTGCCACCTGAGCCAGAAATCTCTCCGGTGACCAATACAAGCCAAAAATAATCTCATCAGCTTTGACGGTGCTGTCACATTTTACGTGGACAACTGTCGAGCACCTGTTGCATGTCCACACACCGCCACCATCATTATCCAATTTGTTGGCAACCAGGCCTTGCGTAGCATTGGCTTTCAGTAAATCCAATGATACCGTATTGCAGTTGTCAGTCTGACCTGTTTGCCCAGCGCCGACACTGGAACACCCCCCTTGAGGAGTGCGGCGCAACATTCGGGATTGGCATGGAATCAAAATTTCAGTATTTTCGGCATTGTCACATTGAAAAACATGGCATTGCAACGTGTTCCGCTTGGAGTCAAGTGAAAAAGCCACATCGTGAGGTACATGTAAAATTTGGCGTACATTCTCAAATTCTGGGGCCAACTGTGGCATACGCTTGGGTTGCTGATTTGTTACTGTTGCTGCAGCCCTCGCAAGCTTGATTTTCTTTGCTAAATCAAGTGGTCCCCAGCCATGAAGTTGTTGTAAATGCTCCGCCACCCCACGCACCAGGGCTTCACAAAAGCTCCGTGGATATTCGGCTTCCAAGGCAGTGTCAAATTGTCCATTGCGGAATTCGTAAGGTGCATGTTCATGTAGTCCATCACATAGCATTGCATGAGCGTTAACATTTGCACAGTTTGTGGCGATACCAGTCTTCTTTAATCGACGCCCTCCAAACATACACATGTCAAACTGAAAGAAGAAAACCTGTGTCTGGCTTTTTATCGTCTGAAAATAGGATGTCTGCCAAAGCCAGCTCCGGAGGGGATTCTCTATAGTCCAAACTGTTGTGGATGGCAAGCTCAAAATTAGCTTCTGCATAAAGTGATACAAACGGTTTGCAGCTCTAAGTCTGTCCCGTGAATTTTGGTTAAGCAAGTGTGGGGGAAGTCCATCTGGATATTGCTTCGACCTCATTGGTCTGGGCCCAAAATGGGCCTTGGACATCCTGCGTTCCCTTGCTCTAGAAGCGGTGCCGCATGGTACCCCAAAGTGAACCCATACGCACTTGGGATCTGACGCCCACTGCATGACCATTTCTTGCACTTCAGGTTTCTGAAGGTCAAGGCAAATCACCTGGCTTTTAGGATGTTTCACTTTGTGATCAATTCCAAAACTGTCAGGTAAAAGGGCCCTGATACACGCAGTAAGGCCGGCTGTCCCACAAAAAAGCTCTATACCGAAACAGCCATCAAGAGGGATACTTCTCGGAGAGGGCAGTGCTCCATCATTAGTTGGCATCTTGGGCTCAACATTGTTCAGAAAGCATTGACTGGATTTCCTTTTGTATCCTCTGCCATCCTGTTTTCAATGACCTTCGTGTTCAGTCTGTGGATGGCTCTTGTAACACCCAGGAACACAGCACACGTGTTCCCTGGGGCATTTCTTGTCTTTGCACTTGCCCAAATTAAAATTGAAACAAATCGCCTTGCCTGCCGGTGTCTTGTGATGCATCCCATGTAACTGCTGCGGCATTGGCTGACGCTTGCCTTTGCCACCTGCTTTGCCTTTTGGACTGGGGTTGCCTCCAGGCTTGGTCACCGGCTTCTTGGTCTTTGTATTGTTCGGGTCAGCCCTTCTGTCATTGTCTGACTGACGCGTCAATGGCACAGGCAACATGTGATATGTAACTGTAACATCATTGTGCAACTGGTCAAAGGCCAAGTCAAGTGGCAAAACACCTGCTGCGTTGACATGAAAAGGTGGTTGCACAGTCTCTGCCAACCTCATGAAGGCCTGCCGATCTGCTCTAAGGAGCTGAGCATGTCCTGGCTTCGAAAAACCTGGTGCTGGCGCTTGTGTCATCAGGGTAAACATGCGGTTGACAAACTTCATGACAGTATTAAAAGTAGCAATACCCACCAGGTCCATCGCCAGTGCACGGCGAGTCATAGCTTGCAGCAGGCTGAGGTCACTTCCAATTTCTGCTTCTTGTTCTTGCTGTTTGTCCTTTACAACCAAGCTGCTACGAGTCTCATCCAACTTGATCTGCTTATCTGGCCTCTCACCTGCCAACTCCTGCTGACGAGTCATGCACTTGCCAGGAGCTATATATTTGAGTTCACCTGTCTCAAGCATGGCTGAAAATTGATCATACAACCAGTGACTCGGTTCCATAGGCCCCGACAGTTCCAAACCTTGAAGTCGTGATCGTTGCGCTTCCAAACGCGCTGATCGCTCAGCTGGTGCCACCCTTTTTGTACTGGCATCATCAGGTGAATGAACAGTTGATCGCAAACTTGCAATGGTCAATGTCTGAGCTTCGAAAATCACACGCTTCACTGCTGCAATCTCACTAAGAGTAGGGCCAACACCAAAGCGCAACTGATTCATCAGATCTGTCACTTGTTCCGTTGAAGGCGCAACACCAGGAGTAGTTACCGCATATGCAAGTCTTCCAAGTCTATTCAAGTTGTTTCGTCCAAAGGCTTCGACCCATTGTTCATTGAGCCCAGCACGTCTGGCTTGCGTCTCAAACGCCGCAACTGATTCCAACAAGGTGTTGCTTGCCATGAAGCTTCACGAAGATTCAGCGGGTGGAAACTGAAAATGCACATGTTGAAGACACCATGAAAACGGTTGCAAGCTGTTACAAGATTCAGCGTGTGAAAACTGAAAATGTACATGTTGAAAATTCCACGAAAAAGGTTGCAAACTGATACATCAAGGTGAACATGAGATGGCGTGAATACCACTCATGATTGAATTCGAAAGCATGCTGGAGCCACGGTCACATATAGACCTGTTGGGACCTGACGACATACCTGAAATCATTGCACAGCAATGCATTCGAGAAATCCAAATTTTCATGCTCTCACATGGAACTGTTGCTGCATTCAGACAACGTGACATTCATTTGACTCACACTGTGAATCCATTTGCCGTGCATTCACGGTCATGTGCCCATTAGATTAAAAGCATTGACAACTTGCATTCAAGTCTTAAATGAAATTTCCGACAAAGCCGGACATCAGGTCCCGCATGTTTTTTGGCCCCAGCTGAGATTCAGACTGATCCATATCAGCGTGATCAGAGTCTTTGACTTGACCCATGCAACTGTGACACATGTTTCCATGACAAAGGTGAAACAAAACCTTTCGAAAAACCACAAGTTTCATAAAATCACTTTGCAAAAGTCACTACTGAGCTTTACGCCTGGCATGGATAGCTGCCATCGCTTCTGCCAGCTGATCCGTCTTTGTAATAACTTCACCTTTGAAGCATAGAGAGCATCTCGCCCATTTGAAGGAAGCCCCCTGTTCCAGAAACCTGTAGTTGTCACCGAGCCTACGGCCGCACGCAAGGGACCCTGCAACTTTGTTGGGTCTGTGCAGCACTCGACTCTGCTTGTGCTGATACACTGGCTCATTGCAATCTTTCACTTCACCATCCAAAGCATACTTCTGTTGCAGTGGCTCTTCCTGTGCAGAGGAACTTGATGAGCTGCTGCTGGAATCATCAGATGAGGCTCTGGCCGGACTCTCTTGTCGAGCGTCTTGTTCACTGACAGGGCTGCCAACCAGCGACCAACTGCTCTCAGTCAAATCGACCACACCAAGAACATGGTCTGCTTCACTCCGACTCTGAGTGCTGAGTCCCTCAGGGAAGTTCTCCACCTTGACTCTCACACGCATCGGCTCCTCTGAACATGCGGAGGCAACATCGCCTTTGCGTTGGGCAAACCTGCCCGATCTTGTTTCGTCTGGTAGAAAACTGCCTGATCTGATGTTCAGCAGCATCGATTCATACAAGGCCAGCGGGCGACTGAGCATGTCGCGAGAGTAACAAGCCAGGCTCTGAGACTGCAACTCATGATGGCCCAGCAGTGTCCTTGCTGGTTCCTCCAATCCATATTTTGCACACCAAGTGAGTGTTGTGGTCTTCATGCAATGACTCGTCACAACTCTTTCACCTGTAAGCCCCAGAACATGATTGAGAAAATCTCCAATCTCTTCTGAAGATAGATGCCTGGTACCAAGCATGCCATTGGTCGGTGGCCTGCATACAGCGCCTATGGGTTTTGCAGTCAAGTTGAACTGAACCTGCTTGAGAATGTCAAACCACTCGACAGCCCACAACCTTTCTGTCACCCCTCGTATGGGTGCAACCAGTGGCATCTGCATAGCCCGTTTCAAAGCTGTCGTACTTGTTTTCTGAAACCTTGTTGAACCTTCCACAAAACCCACAAGTCCCAGTTCCGTCTCTGTTGTATCAAGGGTCAAATCACTGAGGAACGCCAGATCTGACCATCTCGACCTGCTGTAAATGGCAAATAAAATGCATCCTGCAATGTACCTGTCAAAAATATTCAAGTCGGATACCAGGAACTCCTCAATGAATTTAACTTCTGAAAGCAGAAGCGGTCTACTCTGTTTGACAGTGTCTCTTGCAGCATCCAAGCGCCTGACACGGCCTGTCAACACGGGGTCGTCGATGATCTCATCCAGCTCTGGCAGTCTCATGACATATTTGCAGAAACGAAGTGCCTCCATCAAAGTTTTACCCTTTGTGCTGCCAGCTCCACCAACATTGGATTCATTGAGATACGCTGCAACATATTCTGGTTTGATTGGCCACACCTGCAGTTTTTTCCTGTCAAGCCAAGAGAACAGTGCCAACATTGTTGAAGCCCTTTTGTTTGCAGTACGACATGATTTGTTGCCGAAAACATCTCTGAGGGTACCTTCCAGTTCTTTGCCATCGCATACCATGTCTCTGACTGTGGCTCCGACCAAGCCTGCATAGCCGGTACACGCTAGCACCGTGTGCCACTTCTTTAAGGCTTTGGCCCACAGCTCTGACACTTCAGTAAGATGATCGACATCACGCTTCATCTTGACAACATGTGCAAAAACGTTGTCAGTTCGATCACGTTTCAAAACATTGCTTGGCATGCTAGGCAAAGACTCAGCACCCTGATCAAACTGCTGTGCATCATCAAGTTCAGGTGGTACAGGACACAAACTTAACGGTGATGCAAGAAAACTGTCACTGCTGTCAAAAATGGTTGCAAATACACCTGATTCCCAAGGCAGCTTCTGGCCCGTAGCACGGCTGTTGATGAAGTGGGCTTCCTGCAAGGCACGGTCAATCTGAGATCCAGTCCATGTTTCATGTTGATTCAAAAGTTCAAGTTCTGGTGGGTCAGCAGAAATTTCATCATGTAACGCATTGCCATCTGACAAAGTGATTGCATGAGCAGGATTCTGAAAACCTGTATGTGTACGGCTCCAAACTGTCAGTGAGTCCACAACGCTGTCAACATGTGAATTGACTGTAGGAACAGGTTCAGATGTGTCTGTCCCAAGCCCTGAATTGTACAGTTCAACATCGCGAATCACAACATCGAAAAACTCAGCCATACACCACGCAGAACCCCCCTCAGCAAATTTCAAACATGGCGTAGTAAAAAACGCGAAACCCACCTACCCACCTCTTGAACAAAATACTGTGGGAGAAAACATACGTCATTTGCATGAGACATGAGGAAAATGACGACATGACAAGACCACAAAAACAACAAACAGTGGCGTTGCAGCAGATTTGTAAAACCAAATACAGGGTTGGTTAAGACAAAAAACTTTGGTGGTTGAAAAAGAAAGCTTAGCCTGCATTCAGGCACGCACATTTTTAGATTCAGGAAATAAAGAGTTATCACCACGCTGGGTGAAAAGACTCTTCTCAAGTTCGAATGTTCCGAACAACACAGTTCCACAATCGCAATTGAAGAACCCTGAGTCAACACTTGCTGCAACACACTCAGCTCACGAAGTTCTGCCAACTCAGCTGTCAAACCATCTGGAACAACAATCCCAAGAGCATAACGGTGTTTATAGAAAGCTTTAGCACTCAAGCATTTTGTGAAAAGATCTGCTGGATTTTCAACACCACTTCTGTGTCTCAATTTCAACAAACCCTCTCTCATCTGCTCTCGTAACCAATGCAATCTTATCTCAATGTGTCGTGAACGTCGTGGCACGTCCATGGATCTCACAAGTTGCAATGCGGAGCTTGAATCGCTCTCCAACCAAATCACAACTTCTTCTGGCTCATCGATCTCATGAAGTGCAAACAGAAGACGGTGAACCAGTCTTCCAAACGCAACACTTTCTTGACACACTGATTGCAAACCATAAAGTTCTGCCTCACATGAACTCAAGCTCAAAGCTTGCTGTTGTCGGCTCAGAGACCTTACCAATGACCTCTCAAAGAAAACAGCACCACCGCTAACACCTTTGCGGCTGTTAAAACGGTACGGCGCATGTGAAGCGTCGCTGAAAGAGTGAAGATGGACTGATCTCAGTTGAGTATCGTCAACTTGACTCATGATGGTCTCATCTCTGCTCGGTAAACACAAGCATGCATGCATGTCAACATACAAGAATCTCAAGACTGCTTTCAATGCTTGTTCAGTTCCGTGCATCGGTTTCGCTTGCTGTGTCCCAAGAACAGACATCCATGTCTTCAAGTCATGACGCACCTGTGACAACCAAAGCAATTTTCCCAACGCCTTTCTGAAGCGTGAGTATGCTTCATCTGACAAAGGTTTCTGAAAGTTGCTATCCGTGAGTGTCTTCTCAAGATGTCCTGAAATATCAGGCACATTCTCCGACCCACGAGTAACACCATAATCCAGAAACGTAGAGTCAAGATAATGTGGGTCAACACCCAGAGTGATCTCAGAGGAATCTCTTTCTCTTTTGATGACACGACCAATAAAGGTCAGGGATCCTCCCTCTTCTCCGATCTCTCCAGTTGTCTTCACAGGCACTACAGACGACAAAGTTGCAACCACATGTTCTTCAGCTTCCTTAGTGGTCGACAACAACAAGATGTCATCAACATACACTACACACAAACAAAACCCAATCTCATGACCATCTTTCACAATCTGTCCACCATACACACATGGTTCCAACGAATCAGACCAAAGGCCTACATGTTCAACCGTGAATGTCAAAAGCTGCAACCATGCCAGTGAAGCATCACGTAACCCGTTCAATGCCTTTTCAAGCAAATAGTAGGTCGCTTCACCTGATGGAAAGCTAATCGACAACGGCATTTTCAAGACAACATGTACACCAGTTCCCAATGGGCTATGCATGAAGGCATGACTCACGTCCAATGCACGCAAAAGCATCTTCCGTGTCGCTGCCATTGCAAGCACCAAATGAACACTTTCAATCGAAGGGGTAGGACTACTAAATCCCAAAGATCTAGCTGAGGAGCCACGATTGAAGTCCTTCGCAACAATCCTGGTTCGAACCCTCTCACTGCTTTTGTAAGCTGCAACCCACCTTGACTGGATCAAACGAAGGTTCGGAACAGCCTTCTTCATATCGTCCAGTTCTGACTGGGTGATGATGCGGCCAGTCTTGCAGTGTTCCAAGTTCCTAACCTCCTCTTGCATACCTTTGAAACCTTGTTCCAAATCAAGCTCTTGCAAACTCTGGTCATCTATGATACTGTCCGGTTTCCAAACCAAGACATCTTGACCTCCAAGACGCATCTTCACAAAATCATGCTCATTGCCTCGATTGAAACAAACAGAATCAAGAGAACCAGAAAACATTTCTGGGGATGTTGCCGGAGCAAAAGACGCTGGACCTTCAAGTGTACCCAAACTCGCAACCAACACAGGCTCACCATTACCAACCCAAAACCAATCAAAATCCATGTTTGTTTGAAGCAGTTCCTCAGAATCTTCACGGATCTCTCTTTCCAACTGTTCTCGGTCGGTTTCAGCTTTCCTTTTAAACCTTCTAGTGTACTCAACCTGTGTTTCCGGCTGTCGCCGAGCGGACTCAGGTGTTGGTACCAATTCTTCATCATCGACCTCTTCTACTGGCACCTGAACCTGAGGTACAACTACAGGGCTCTCCTGAGAGAGTGCAGGTTCAACACGTCTTTCCTTTCTCCGTTGTTCCTCAAACTCAGCAAAGCGCTTTCTACATTCCTTGTTGTGCCTAATACCAGGTGCTTCCATGCCACTCTCACATGCTGGACATCGACGAGTCGGTTCAAAACGTGATACGTCAGGTGAAGTTCTTTCAGAACTCTCACGACTATCAATAGCTACATCTGCAGTATCTGCTGGTGACGTAGGAGATGGAGTGACAGAAACTCGAGACGGCTCTACTGGAACTTCCTGTGGAGTCACGACAACATTCGATCTTGCTAACGGCACTGCTGGCGCCAAACGCAACTCACCAGATTTCTTCTTCACACTGCTGGACTCTGGCAAGACAAGTTTGGGCTGTGAAGGTGCCGGTAAACTCTGACCTTTCAACTTTCGCAACTCTTCAGGAGGTAGCTGACTCATATCAGCTGGTGCAGTCCCACTGTCATTCACAATTTGGGGTCTACTACCTACAGTCCCAGTGTCAAATTGAGTCAAAACACCCTGTCCCGAATTCAAATCCCATCTCAAAGGTGAAATAGCCCTGATGTTCCTAGCTACAAAACGCATCAACTCAGCTTTGCCATCCACACGAATGAGACCCTGCACAACTGGACCTCGTTCCAATCCCATGTGAATGAAAGTACACTCAACATTCCTTGTTGAAAGTGGTGAATGCTGCCGAATTGAATCAGGAATTTCTGCCAAAACCTGAGCACCAAACAAAGTCGAAACTGGTTTGGATAACTTCCTTCCTGAAACCATTTCCAATGGACTTCTGTCTGAACCTCGTGATGTTGAAAAATGGTTGTTGCACAAAGCCAAATACGTCAAAACATCAACCAAATTCTCATGTGAAAATGTGACATCCAACCCTTGTGCATTCAGATCAGCCCTTAACACAGAAAAGGATTCCTTTAATTCCCTAACTGCTCGCTCAGCCGACCCAATCGATCGATGTTGTTGTGGCGCGGCTCTCCGAATAGCGAACGTGTATCGGCCAGTGGAGGATCCAATGATTTCTCCTACGGCCCTCTCGCTATCGGTGTGGACATCAATGGAGACTGCCTTCGAAGTCAACCCAAAATGTTGAAGCCATACAACAATTTGTCTCCTGGCTGCTTCGACATCTTCTCCAACCACCACATAGCCAATGCACCTCGACATCATCTCTGTTAACACAAGGATCTTCACCGAACCTGGGAGTTCGTCTGTGGCGATCTCGCCTGATGTCTTGAGGAATGCAAAATCGGCCTGAATCGAAACCTCTTTCCTGTCACCTTTGTCTCTTCTGTGCTGAAAGACAGAACGACCTTTGGCACACTCCAAGCAATTCGGATTGAATGGAATATGTCCCTGTCTCCGGTGACGTGCCAGTTCACTGTCGTCTCCTCCAGACACAGCTGCGACAGAAAAGTCATGAGTGTTACTCACAGTCAAGTCAGACCTGTATGCACTACTACTACCAACATCGGGATACAAACGAACCCAAGGACAATTGGCAAAATAAGCAACATCAAGACAATGCATTCCAAGCTTTTCATGGAACAAATCAAAACCTTTTGGACCTTGTGTGAATCTCCATCCCGAATCTGCCAATGAAGTGATTGACAAAATGTTGTGCCGGATGGAACCCACCAAAACATTCAAACGTGCTTTCTTCCAACACCAATCATCACCTGATGTGCCTGACATGTGCATCTGTACTCCAATCTCAGCAGTGCCTGACATGTTGACTGAGGATCCATTGGCAGCTTTGTAGCCACCTAACCCCTCACTGTCCTGCAGCACTGACCTAAAAGCTGACAAGTTCGATTCAGCCAAAACACTTGTGGATGCACCAGAGTCAAGAAGCCACCAAGAAGCATCGGTGTTGTCAGCGACCTGTGAAAGCAAAGGTCGCAAAAACTCAAAATAAGGTTCAATCTGCTGTTCAACCGAAACCTCACTGTGGTCGTCAAACCAATCATGTGCACGCACCAAAACGACTTTCATCGGTACAGTGGCACACAAGTCTCGGCTGGGGTCATTAACAAAACGTGTCTCTAAGTTGGAACTGTCACCAAGTCCAACTTCATCTCCAAACTTCAAACCACAAAACCATGGCTCATGAGTACAGCTGTCGCAACCTCTTGCCAGCACACAACCCATGTCAGCCGCTTCAACTTCCTCTGACTCATGAGTACAGCTGTCGCAACCTCTTGCCAGCACACAACCCATGTCAGCCAGTTCACTTCTCACTACTTCTGACTCACAAGTACAGCTGTCACAACTCCTTGCCAGCACACAACCTGTGTCAGTCAGCTCATCTTTCTCTTCTGACTCATGAGTACAGCTGTCGCAGCCCTCTGCCAGCACACAACCCATGTCAGCCAGTTCATCTTCTTTTGACTCACGAGTACAGCTGTCGCAACTCCTTGCCAGCACACAACCCGTGTCAGCCAATTCACTTTCCAATCTTTCTGACTCACGAGTACAGCT